AAAAAAAAAAAAAAAGGGCTAAAAAAAATAGGGTCCCCCGGAATCCGTCATACTCTGGGTGCCTACACACCCGCTGCACCTCAAGACCCTTTGTGCTCTTCAGCCTTCTCTCTAGATCCTAGTCCAGCCTTTTAAAGTCCCTCAGGCTTTTGTCCACAGCCTTGCCCTTAGCCCGTCAACGCCGGCTAAGTAACAACGGGATGCACAATACAGCATGCATCTTTGTTGATCGGAATGCATGTAATGTTCAATCCAAGCGCCACAACACGAACGTGCAGCACTGCATGCTCAGGCTTGTGGCCTCCAAGCTGCGGCGCATGCAGGTCATGTGCTGAGCCTGGCCAGCAAGCATCGCAAAATGTACTGCAGGCTGATCCTATTCACAACTATTCGAACCGACAAATGTGGGAAGCGGCCTCGCCAGATGTGCGAGAGGCGGGCGAGGGGTGCCACGAACGAGCCAACGGCTGTTCAAACCTCTGCAAGCCCCATCCTGGCACTGACACATAGCAGCCACGGTTTAGGGTTCAGGGTTTAGGGCTTAGGGCTTAGGGTTTAGGGTTTAGGGTTTAGGTTTTAGGGTTTAGGCTAGCATCTCGCAGATCGGATCTCGATGGAAGCGTGCTGAAAGTTCACAGTGTTCTCAACTAACACCTGAGCATCGTGATTGCATGGCTTGCGGCACCGTGTAGCTGCTAGCATCTGAAAGGACCTCGAAGCCCTATTCTCGAAGTAGCAATGGACCGCCAACAACTTGCGAGACCCGGATACTTGAGAATATCAATGCAACAATGCAGCTCCGGCATTTTACACGGATTCTCGGAGAGCGCGACGTTACTATGTTACACCCCTGAGTGTTCAGCATGAACATGCAACACTGCAGGAGGAAAGGCGAGGCACTTCAAGGGACTTTACCCAGCGCCAACACCATGCGTCGCACGTTCGGCCTCACTGCCCATGGCATAGCGGTGGCGTGAGGCAAAATGAAAACGACACCTCCGCGCTCACCGAAACCTGCAGCATCCACAGCGGAAGGCATCAAAGGCAAACCCGAGAAACATGGTCCCTCGGCAGCAATGGCGGGACCCTTCATGGAAGAGAACAAAGCGCTTTTGGGGTTTCCCCTGAGCACTAAACCCCCAAATCCCCCAAACCCTTCCAGTGGATTCCTTATGGCAACCCTTGCTATATACCCCTTACGCAAACCCTTCCCAGTTTCATGCCGTTGGCCCCTTCCCAGAGACTCCAATATCCCTTAATTAAGGAATATACCTTAAATTATAGTAGGATCCCTAATATGATTTAAGGTATATTCCTTAATTAAGGGATATTGGAGTCTCTGGGTTGTCATCTGTGGCCTCCAACTTCACCGGCGGAACCGCCTTGCTTGCGGCCCCGTCCAGGGCCTGAAGCAGTTGATCCTCGGCGTCAGAAAAGTGTAGAGTTGAGGGGGGTTTAGGGTTTAGGGTTTAGGGGTTTAGGGTTTAGGGTTTGGGGTTTAGGGTTTAGGGTTTAGGGATTAGGGATTAGGGGCTAGGGGTTTAGGGCTCAGGCTTTATGGGTTTATGGGTTTAGGGGGTTTAGGGTTTAGGGGTTTAGAGTTTAGGGTTTAGGGTTTAGGGGTTTAGGGGTTTAGGGTTCAGGGTTTAGGATTCAGGTTTTTTTTGTAAGTGCAGTAGTCCCTTTCTCACCGCAGAGACTCACCCCAGTTGGGGTTTACACTGTCGAAGCGATCAACAAATTTTGGTTCAGGGTTTAGGGTTTAGGGAAAAGGGTTTAGGGTTCAGGGTTTAGGGTTTAGGTGTTCAGGGTTTAGGGTTTAGGGTCTAGGGTCTAGGACTCCTTCACTCATGGCCGGGATCCTTCATTCCTTAACAAGCGACCCTTAACCCTTCATAAATGGATATTCCTTTAGATTTGTTAAGGACCCTATACAAGGCATCCTCAACTACAGGATTTTCCGTAACCTGCACTAGAAGAAGGCATCCTCGACCCTGACTAACTAATGACACAATTTCTTCCAGGGCTCCTCGTTATAACCATGCTGCATTGTACTCCGAACCCACAGTCTAATCATGTGGACCCTATATTAACTCTTCTAAAAAACAGTCTTTGACACCCTTTAAAGCAGCCCTATCAACACCCGATTCTAAGTCAGCAGGCCCTTAGATTCGGGTTTAGGGTAACACCGCTGCAGACCAAGGGTCCGAACGAGGCAGAACGGCCGTCTCCAACATTCGGTCGAAGTCCTGTTTAGGGTTTAGGGTTTAGGGTCGATGTAGAGGCTTCTTCAAGTTGGGGGTACCCTCTGTTGAGGATCCACAAAATAAAGGTTCTACATCTTGGCTGACTTCTGAACCCCTCCTAAAAGTTGAACTTTTAGCGTCCTTACCATAGTTCATATAGAAACCCAAAAAGCTAAAGTCCTAAGAGCTAACCAGGCGAACGCCAAGACATGATCCTACCAGTTTCGGTCCCCTTCCTAAACCGCCCGCACCCCAAAACTGCCCGTAACAGAGCCCCTTATGGGGGTTTCCGAGAATAGGGGACCCTAATATAGTACCCTAGGATCCTTATTATAAGGACCCCCCAAAATAAGGTACCCAAATTTTCGGAAAGTCCCTTATGATGGTCCTGAAGAATGGGTGCTCAGGGGTACGAAGGAAGGTAGTTGGGAAATCTAGGTAAACCCCAAACCGCAAACCCTATACTACGCCCTACACCCCAAACCCTGGACCCTAAACCCTAAACTTTAAGCCATAAACCCCAACAGCCCAAGAACCCTTCACCGCAGAAAAACTTGTCTCTTGCGGCCGGGTCCTTTGACTTGGCCAAGTGGCCGACCGCAGCCATCAATGCTGCGGCCTGAACTCTAGTAATCGGTGAGGTTTAGGGCTTTGGGGTTTCGGGCTTCAGGATTGCAGGTTCAGGGGTGTGAGGCTGCAGGGTTTCGGCTGACGGTTTTTGGGTTGCTGGGAACAGGGCGAGATAAACAACTAGGAGAGTCTTGCATTCAGATGTTAAGCCGTATTGCTTCAGGTCTTCCATGGTCTTGGTGCTAGCGGTACTAGGCGTAGAGGATGTGCGAAAGATGCTATGTTCTGTCTTTCGGGAGTGCACCCTAAACCCTAAACCC